TAAACCCGTGTGTGAGCCCTCCATGATAATTGTGATGTATGATCTAACCTGTATCACATGACCTATGTCACGTACAGAGCGAGTAGCACGAGCCGTTTATACATTTTCCCGGCTTATACTACCGAAACGCGGGGAAATTTAATTGTACCGGGCTAGACCAATTGATGCTTTATTTGACATATTATATTAATATTTTTCCATGGAATGATTTGCAAAATATGGCGACATCGGAAATAAAGTGTCACTGTTATCATTTTGTAAAAAACAACAAACTGGCATAGTAAAATCGATTTCCTCTGAAAAACTTGTCATACCTCGTCTGCGTTGCTGTCCGGTGAGATACCATTGCATAATCTGTTCTTGACGTTTTTACAGTTTTGAGTTTAGCTGGTGAATTCATTTTCTCAGTTTCATCTGGCAAGATAATAATATATATGTGAAATTATCTATTCTAAATTGTCCACTCGGCACGCGACGCCAATATTCAAAAGCCACCCAATTAACCATTCAGCTTGTGTGTTCACAGGAGGGCGGGGTGGGTACTTACCTGGAACGACGATTGGCTTTTTTCGCTGGTGATTGATGGCTAAGAAATTTGCCAGTTTAGTTTAGTTTAGTGAGTGATACACAGCAATACAGACATATTATGGAGGATGGACAATATGTGTAATTATTCATTTGATCTCAGTTGTAAAGCAGAAATTAAAAATTTGGAAAGATTATTCAATTTCCTCTTACTTCTAACAGAAAGTAAATTAATTAATTTAAACATAGACGGTCTAATTCTGTAATATCTGTCAATGTATTGTGTTCTTACTTCGTTGTAAAATGGACAAACAAGAATAAAATGCAATTCGTCCTCTATATCGCCTAAATTACACTTTAAACAAAGTCTTTCATTACGAGGTATTCTCTCATATCTGCCCCTTTCTATACGAAGGTCGTGTGAAGATAATCTAAATTTCGCAATGGTTAAAATACAAGATTCAGGAAAAGATTTACAAAGATAATACTGAAGACAATTAACCTCGGGCAGACATCTATATATTTTGTATAAAAACATCACGTAGACGTAGTTTATCGTCCAATATAAATTGATTCTTACATATCCAAAACCTAGAGACATTAACATTGATTTCACATTACTAAGCCAGTTGGCCTTTGTATTTACTTCAGACAACATATCATTATACAAGGCTTTCAAAATACAGTTATCTGTTTCAAGTAATTTCAACCATTACTTAATTATTCTCATTTTCCGTATTATACAAAGTGGTAATCTACCAAGTTCAGAGTACAACATATTGTTTGGAGTACACCTTCTAACATTAAGTAAGCGCTTACAAAAATCTATGTGCACTTTCTCTACGTCAGGGGCAGCATGGAATCCCCATACTTCACAGCCGTAGTTTAATACACTTGAAACATAAATATCAAATACGTATATTTTTGTTTCAATGTTAAAAAAAATGTTATTACAAATATTCGTTATGCGGTTTACACATTTTCGACCTTGCTGACTAATAATATTCTGAGTTTGGGTAAACTTTCCATTATAAAACAATGTTACACCCAGATAATTGAAGGACTCAACAATTTCAATGGTTTTTCCATTGTAATACCATCTGTTATTATTTGAAAGGTTACCGCCATTACGAAAGACAACGATTTTCGTTTTGGCCACATTGACCTTTATATTCCATGTGGTACTATAGTCATACAAGGTATCAAGCATAGTCTGAAGTCCTTCTATGGACTCAGAAAAAAGGACAGTATCGTCCGCATACATAATCAAAAACAGCGATATATCTCTTAATTCAACACATTCAGTGGTTTTCATGATCAACTCATTTTCCAAATCATTGATATATAGAGAAAAAAGAAAGGGAGATAACCCTTCCCCTTGCATAAGCCCGTTTGTGACATTGAAAAAGGTAGATAACTCCGACTCATATTTTACACAAGATCTAACCATTTCATAGATGGATTTAACGATAGTGTACATTTTTCCAGTGACCATATTCCTTGCTAACTTAAGAAACAATTTCTTACAATTAATAGTGTCAAACGCTTTTTCATAGTCAATGAAACAACAATAGAGTTTTTTCTTTTGTAACAAAAATCTATTAATTACGCCATGAAGTGTAAAAAGAGCGTCAGTTGTCCCAAAATTAGGGCGAAAACCAAACTTAGCGTCTGATACAATATTATTACTATCTGACCACTCTAACAATCTGTGATTAAGAATAGAAGTAAACAGTTTCGACAGACAACTTACTAAAGTTATGCCTCTATAGTTATTGGTATCATTGACATTACCTTTTTTATGTAGTGGAATGATAACACCACGTGACCAACACTCTGGAAATATACCTCCAGTGAAAATCAAATTAAATAATCGTTTTAACAATGGCACAAAAATATCCTTAAAATTCACAAAATATTCATTAAGTAGATTGTCTAAGCCTGGCGACTTATTCGGCTTGGACTTTTTTATGACATTTAAAATTTCAGTCTCTGTGATTTCATTGTCTAATTCGTGAAATATACATTCATCAGAACTATATTCCATATCATCAGAATTATTCTCATCAGCATCAAAAATCTTTTTAAATTGATCATAAAAATCTTTTATAGACAAGTTTGTAACAGCATTTGCATTGCGTTTTTTAAATAAACGATAAAACTGTTTCGGGTTTGCTCTACGCAAGTAATTCATTCTATTACCTTCATGCGTCTTAAATCTTCTTTTCATCTTGCGCTCGTAAATTTTATACATACGCTTATTATTCACCAAAACACTCCTTTTTTCAGGAATACGCGCAAAATTAAAGTCAGCAAGCGCTTTCATATATCTTTTGTATAAAAACTTACAACGATCGTCAAACCAAGGTTTGTCATTAGAGACACATCTACCAGTTCTGTTGGTGCTGGATTTGTACGAAAAAGTCTTGCCACAAAATGGCGTGAATACATCACACAACAAGGAAGACAAGTTTACTACACACTGGTTTACATGTACAGAATTGTTCTCCAGTGACGTAACCATTTCATTTAACTCATTTTGTTTGGTAACTAATACTTCACGCATTCTTTCTATATCAGCGTCGTTCCATCTATACACAGTATGCGTTTCGTTTTTATAAGCAAAATCGGTATCTATTACATTCAGGTTATCACATTGGACACAAAATTCAACTGGTGAATGATCGGACCATACATTAAAATCACAAACTTTCAACCTGTTTACAGTTTTAAAGCATGATTTGTCAGTGAGTACATAATCAATGACACTTGAGCCTAAATGATTAAAAAATGTTAAACGACCAGATACATCATCAGGCTTTCTGCCATTACACACACGAATTCCACTGGATTTACATAATTGGATAAGTCGCCGCCCAAAAGTGTTAACAACCGTATCCTCTGACCGTCGGGTAGGCATAATGACGTCAGCATCATACTCGAACAGGTCAGACAGTCTGTCAGTCAGCGAATCATGTAGAGTCATCAATGTACGTTTTTGTTAGAACAAGAAGTCTATTGTCTACTATTTCGGAAATAGATTATCAGTTTTGACCACATCGTCCTTTGAAAATTGAAATTTAACCCGGGCTACTCAAAATATTTGATAATAAAAGCACGAGCTTACTCCGTGATAAAAGTACATAATCTGTGATGTATACTTGGCTCGGAGACATATAAAGCGATAGTAAGTATCACTTTCTTCTCCTTGGGCTACCTGGACGTTTCATCATTGTGAAATGATAAATTAATTCCATATAAGTTTTCTTTGTCTTCTCACTGAAAAGTTTTAGAATTCGTCTTAATGCAAGTGACTGTCACTTTCGACTTTCTTCATATCATTAAAGCGTTTCTCTAAAACAGATAAGGCCTATGTGGTCAAACAATCCAACATATGGACTTCAATATTTATTTACGTAAAACACATATTTCAATTAACTTATATTTACATATAGACTATTATATAATTTTCAGATTGATGTCACTTTTTTGAGGTGGAAATTGCGTAGTTTTTTGAAAGATACTTAGAAGTTTCCTTTGATTGAACTGTTTTAGCGTTCACATCATCTGCACATCAATAAGCACAAGAAACCTTAATGACATTTTTTAAGATCGTAGACGTGATGGGATTGTAATCGACACATTAACACCAATTAATTCACTTAAAATATATTCATGTTATTTATTAGGAGTTGTGTATAAGTTATGGAGTTATTAAAATTTGGTTATCATAATGTCATTTCCAATGTTTCATGTGTTATGACATCGCAATAACAATGTCGTATATATAAATGAGAAAATAACCAAGAGACATATATATTATATATGTAATATATAATTCTCTGAACAACCTTTTTTTATAGAAAAAACCCAGAGATAGTTAAATATATACAATAAATATATATAAATAAGTCCGATCCTGCTCCGTTTCTGTCCTTTCCTGTAAATCGTCGCCCGTTCCTGCCCGATCCATATCAATACATTACTGTTAACTCGTTGCAATTCTTTTATCAAAAATATCCTATACCCGATAAAAAATATATAATAAATAAATATAGGTCTCATAAGTAATAACGACATAAATATATATATATTTAATTTAGTCCAATTCTGCACCGATCATGTAATTGCAATCCTTTTATCAAATATATCCTATACCCGATAATGATAATTAAATATATCTAATATATATATATCTAATATATATATTCATTAATGTATATAATAATTAATATATTTCTGCCCGTTCCTGTAAATCGTCGAACCTCTCGAAAACACAAATGCAGAAAAAGATTTTCCAATTATAATATAAAATCGATCGAAATTCAAATTAACGAAATATGTGAAACTGGGTTAAAACAGGAATGAAAACACATAATAAAATGATATAAACAAAAAAATGTAAACACATATGTTTATACAGCCGGAACATTTTGATATCGCTACCTAAATCTACAATATTACCGATACTTCCGGTTGAAAGTCGAAGATGTTGCCGGCTTTTTATCATCTTATTGTTTTCTTATTTTTAGCGTATTCTCTTACTTACAACCTTTTAAAGGTTCAGGATGACCCAGGATCCAACGTTTTAACCTACCGGGGATATGGAGGGAAATTCAAATTCCTTACTTTTTGGCTTTTCGTAAGTTTGGTCGTGGTTGGGTAAGCCTACTGGAAAGATCAAAGGTTACTTTCACATGTTCCAGGACGCGGTTCCGTTCCGACAGTGCTTTTTAACGTTTTTTGATTTTGAAGCGATAGCATAAATGAAAAGATAAATGGCAGAGCTTTAAAGTTTTCACGTGTAACTGGAGAAATACAATCTTTATTTAAAGTCGGAAAAGTGTACAACGGATCTCATTTCTCTTTGCATTTCTCTTTCTCTGGATTTCAGAGAAAGAGAAATGCAACGATCAGACGGGGATTCAAACACGGCACTTCCAGACGCTCTACCCAATCCAGTCTAAATAAAAATATGTGTGCGTTTTCTGTTTCGGCTCCAAAAAACAATAGGGTAGGTAGATCGGGAAAACATTTTATTTTACTTTATTTTATTTTTTATTACTGAGGAAGAAAATCTTCTAATTACCTCTCAAACATGTTACTGTTTTCATAAATCATGAATGGCACCAAAATAAAATAAACACCAAAAATAAAATCCCATGCATGCTTAATTTTTGTCTTGAGAAGGCCCAAAAGACGCATTGAAGTAAATTATTATTTGACCCACGTCCTAAATATTTATGGAATAACCAACGTAATTTACAGCAGTGCTGCCACCAGTGTTACATTTCTAAATTATCCCTACTGCTGGACACTAGTTTTTAGTAATCCAAACTCCACTGATGGTCACCAGTGTTACATTCTCTTTTGTTTTACTGATGCTTTCTGTTCTCGATGTCCACTGCCACCAGTTTAAATTAATCGAACAACAAAATAAGCACATTTATATTTACAAAATATATAAATATACAAGTCTTCACCATTGTGAACTCAATTTTTCCACTCTAAACTATCTCCAACTATAAACTGTAAAACTTCACAGATCTACAAACTACAGCTAAAACTACTATTACTTACATCCTCATTCTAACTTTAACTCTAACTTTTTTACTCTCCTCAATACCTAGCTCAACCTCTTTCGTCAGACTCCTCAGTTCAACTCTTTCCTTTATCTCCTAATCTGAACTACATTACTATCAGTACCTTAGCAAAATCCTGCTACATTAAAAATGTTGATGCATTAAAATTGTTGAAGCTGCTGAAATCCTGCAAAAATTTGTCCCCTATATGACTAGGTTAAACTGGCCATAAATCCTGCTTAATTTGACTCCAGCGGTCAGCAGCAACTGGAGGCACAAACAACGACATCATAGACTGGACTCTCCCACCTAGACTACAGTCGGTCACACTAATCTACAGATCCCAACCTATATCAAAAGCACAATTATCTACAGCTACTTATAGCTACTAGCTGTCTTCAAATAAAACTCTGACACTGACCACGAGCAAAGACTAATCAAATGCATAGCAAATTATATATACACTTTGAACAATTAAACGGCTAATAAATGCATAACAGTAACTGTGAAAAACCTATAAAATGTATTGGGGTTGGCATTGAAAAATAGGGTCGTTCTGGAAATGGGAAACAGCTATATTTTTATTTGGCCTAATGTCTTCGCCCCTGAAGACAACTATTTATAACTCGGGTTTGGATACATCCCATTGATAAGCATACATCCAGTGCTTGTAACAAGGGTTGGCAAGCTCACCAATTTTATAACAGAAGAAATAAATGCACAGCTAGACAGGGGTCTCGAACCCAGGACTTTCCAAACTCTAGACCGAAGCTCTACTAATTGAGCTACCTAAATAACAGATAAATTGCTGTAAAGAAATTAAAAATTGCAACAAAAAAGTGAAAACCTTTTATAATGATATAGCTTAGGTTTAGAATTTAAGACTCATCCATGCCCAGGGGCAGGGTGTGGAATACATGAAGGGAAATTCGACCCAAGGTGTGTGTTTTTTTTCGTCGACCAATTTAAAAATCCTGAGGAGGCTATGTCCGAATCCAACACCCCTGGGTACGAACAAGTTTTTTTCTGTCTTTCCATTTACCAGAATTTTAGCTCAGAAACCACAAAAACGCATTAGGTTCTGCATATATTGGCATTGAATTGTTTCCAGTATATTAGCATCACATCCTATATAGTCCCATGATGATGTCACCAAATGAAAATTAAAAAAAAATCAATAATTTACATAGAAAGTGAAAGCACAGGTGAAGTGCGTTCATGATCAGTCGTTAAACATACGAGAGTCTTGGAAAGTCAAAAGGGATTGCCAGGTGTATCTGTATGTAATCATACATAGAAAATTTTCATGTAAAAAGAGAAATTAATGGCAAATGTTTTAATAGACTTTCTTCTGTCCAATGACCAGTCTCATGCATTTATTAAAATGGTATGAATTTTGGAACATTGAGGGCCATGTGGGTGGTATTAGTTAGCCCATGGATAACAGTTTTAATTGGATTGGAAAGTAATGCAAAATGATTAATTGTAATTTCCCATTAGTACCCTTTCTCGTGAACATTATTTCAGAAGCTTGTGTAGATATTAAAACACACAATAACAACAGAATGTTTAAAGAGAAAAACAAAGTTGCATTTTAATTTACATCCACATGAGTCTAAGGAGAGGGGCAATCTATTTCGAAGCACTATTTCGCCCGATATGATTTTAGAACTAGGAGCAAGCAATATATCATTGAGGAAAAGATGAAATTTGTTCTCATTAAAAATCTGGGAAACCATCTTTCAAATTAGGCTAACAATATTCACAAGTTGTTGTAAAAGTTTGGACTTTTCTATTTACATCTTCTTTTTTTATATTGTTTGTTTGTATTAGTTTAATTATATGTATGTTTCCCTTTTCTAGTTACTTCAGACATTCTACTTTGGATTTTCTGTAGTAAATGATATTTTTGGATCCAACATCCGGCCTTCACAGTCAAAGCGCTTCCCTCGCTCTAGATTACAAAGATGGCGGGACACCCTTCTGTCCAGTATTGTTTTTCCAGTAGGATTGGTAAGTAATGTTATATCAGTGCCAAGTTCTTAATCCTTTCGCCACTGTAGATTATAATGGACCTCCCCATATCTATGCCTAGTCGAGTGTTCTAAAGTTACATAGTGGTGAAAGGGTTAAAATACAGATAAGCTTATCAATAATTTATAAAAATGTTTAAATCTAGCATAAGATAAAAAATATCTCGATAACAAACTAAAATTATAGATGTGTATGGATTAAAAACATCATCTCAACACTAGAATATTTATAATTTTTACAGATACTTCTAAAAATTGCATTTAAAAAAAAAATATGTGGTAATGATTTTACAAAGCTTTTAAATCAGGTTTTGAAGAACGGTACCAAGCCCTGGATTTGTATTATTCTAGTATACGTTATGAGAATATGTTGTAAGAGTTCTACACTATAAGAAAGGAAAGTGTTTATTGAACATTGTAAAGGGAGAGAACTCTCTTACAAAATTACTAGGCTCCCTTTTACTGGCAACTCTTGTGTAAGAGTTCAGTGATTCATAAAATAGAAACAAGCCCACAGCCAGTTAAATGCATTGCTATTGTGCTGAAATGGAAGCAACATTTTCACGTGTTAGACAAAATTTTGGTTAAAAATATGAAATAATGAATATTGCAATGAACACTGCCAAAACATTGCATGGAAATCTTCTAGAAATATAGGTGATAAATGTTAAAATTTTATGTGTACATATATACATTTATCACATGATCATCATGTTATTCAGTGAATGTATACACCAATGTCTTACGTGGTACAAACTTATGTAATTTGACTGATTGTGATATATACATAGAGCTAAGATGATAGTTTTTAAATAGACCTGAAAAATGACCTTGCTAGATAGAATAATATTCTCAACATTTGCCAAAAGTTTTAATCATGTAATGAAAAGGATCTTAAGGTCATAGGAGTGTATTGCTAAACGGAAATAGGAAGTACATCCCTAGTTAACATCCAATGTAGGGAGACAGCATCACAATTCCCGCATATTCTAATGTTTAATATTAAACTGATGAATATTGTATGTTTTTTATTGACAGAACAGTGTGTTCTTTCAATATTCAAGTATTTCAAAGCAATCCAGGCATTAATTCAGTTGTTTTTTAATCAGTGAGTCACATGTGTCCATTTTTCTGTACTTCAGGAAACCGGCTACCTATTTATTTCACTAGTGAAGGTTTTCAAGAACGATAACTCTTACATACAATTACTATGTGTATATAGTTTTATTATAAAATGTCAATTTTTAATCGTTTATAGATAATTAATTTTACACAATTTCAGCATTTATGAAATTGATTTAGATTACTACAATACTAATCTATGTCAGTATCATTTTTATTGACATTATTTTGCAAAATGTTGTGCGCTTCAGTTTATTTTCAAAATTATATTCCTTTTTTCATAAATTTCCATTTACAATCCTTAAAATTCTGAAAACCTTATTTTTATTGTGGCAGAAAATTTTCTTTACTTCAAAGCAATATAACTACAAAATTTGAAGAAACTCTACTGAGAAATGGCGACACAATCTTTTTACCTTAACTTGTTTCCAATTTCATTTGAGATTTATGAAAATCATCAAAGTTTTCACTTTGGCTTGCCAAAGTCTTACTATATGAAAAAATCTTTGATTGCAACAAGTTGAATTAAGATCCAATACTATTATGTATTGCATTTAATAATTTTTTCTTAAATCTACTGAATCCTATATCATTTGCTTTTTCTCCTTACAGTTTGTAGTGTGTACATTTTGGGGGATATACCTTGTAGACAGAGAGTTGGTTTATCCTCAAAAGCTAGACAAATTTATTCCATCCTGGCTAAACCATGTAATGGTAAGTATGTGAACTCAACATTTCTCATCCAAAAAAAATGAAACATCAATATTTTTGTCACATGCTGAAGCTAGGTACGTGTTAAATATTAATACCTGGCCTCTTCTGCCAAGGATGACGCAATATATAAAACAAAATCTCTCATCAGAAAGCTACATTATCGCAGCTAGTGCGGCTGTTTTACTTTCCCAGTTTTGTTTGTGCCAGCTGCTGAAGGTTAATGAAATGGTCTTTCATCTTCGAGGTTGAGAACAGTAGGATTGTAATAAAGTTAGATTGGTTTCAGAGGTCCTGGGTTGTAGTTCTGGTTTTGCCATTGAGTGTTTCCTCTCAAGTAACACACTGACAGTATAATTGAACATCATCATGTAAGTTTAAGATGATTGGGGTGATTTCTGATTAAAAGAATCTAATGTGAAATCACTAGTTTTCATAGATTTTCTAATTTCGTTGATTTTGGAGTAATCTTCATCCACATATTCATAGGTGTATGAAGTATTTACAAGTTTGATGAAGCCATTCTCTCGCGAGTGGATACTCGTAATCCACAAATTCATGTACCCATGAAATGGTGTATTGTCGGGAAACCACAAAGTTTGGGCCCAACATAAATATCTGATTTCACAGTAACTCTTACTCCATTCCAAGGCCTTTATAAGCTGTGAAAACGGATTTGTAACCAAAGATTTTAATACATGTATGGAGCGGTAAGGCGGTCGTCCCCAGTATATGGGTGTGGGGACAGGGAACAACTCCACTGCTTTGCCCTAACTTATCTAAATCTGGCCAGCCTTTTACCTTTGCAGAGGTCTTCCACAAAAGCTCACATTTTATCCTGACCCACCTTTCCATATCTCCAATGTCTATCCTCAATCACCCTTGAGACATGACATGCTTTTTTTCATTTTGTCGTTCCAAATGGCCTTTACACTTTCCCACTGTAAATATTTGGTTCATTTATGTAGAGCTGTAAATCAGAGTAGGTCAGTGGCGGATCCAGAGGGGTTTTTTGGGCTTCAGGAAACCCCACCACCCTGAGAAATTTCTTTAAAAATCATGTATTCTCACCATTTTCCTCAATTTTCCCCCACATGGAAACCCCCCCAGATAATTTGGAAACCCCCCCCAGATAGGTCTCTGGATCCGCCACTGTAGGTGTCTTATACTTCATACCAATAGTTTAAGTTTGTATAACTTATCACCAATTTAAGGGAAATAGAACATTTATAGTAGATGCTTGAGATTAAAAAATGGCGGATGTCATTTTTTGTTCAATTGTCACAAAGAACTGGAGAGCTAATGCTATGGTCTGTTGTCCGTCGTCCGGCCGTCATCTGTCAACTTTTTCTTTGAATAACTTCTTCCTATGAACTGGAGGACCTAGCTACCACTATAACATTTGGCCAGTTGGTACCTGGGATAGAGTGCTGTAAAGTTTCCCAAACTACATGACGTTGACTAGTCCGAATTATTCCGACGTTTTATCGACTTTTTTTTATATCAGTCTGTCGTCGGTTAATCGACGACAGACCGATATTAAAATAGTCGATAAAACGTCAGAATAATTTGGACTAGTCGTTGACCTACTTCCACGGTAAAAGGGGTCAAATATATGTAATAACCTTTATACAACTTCTGATGAACTACCAGGGTGATGATATTAGAACAGTTGCATGCTGGGATAGAGTAGTATACTGTTTCATTTAGTCTGATACATTCTTCAGCCAAGGAGACTCAATATATGGAAATATTTACTTAATCTTTTTTATTGGAAACATTTTCCATGATTACTCAACTCTCAAGGTGAGCGATACAGGACCCCTGGACCTCTTCATGATATATAAATTGATCTGTAACTTCCTTTCTAGCACACCACTATATTGCCTCTCCTGCTAGGGGAGATGTGTTTGGTCTACCACCATTTTCCCTCACGCTCCAGAGGGCTGAAGATCCTCATGAGCTTTGCTCTATCATACCTCATTTGGTGAGTGATATTGTAACCGGGGTTTGCAATCACAAATCAGATTCAGTTTAGTCTTTAAATACATTTATTAATCCACTATAAAAACCCTGTTGACAAAACAAATACAACGTATAAATCTTCCATGCAACCAAACATACCTCACATACTTGCATACATAACATAGTAAAAGGGAAATAACTCTTATCGACAAATGCTATTATATAACATATATCTATTTTACCCTATCAAATGAACATATGTACAATGATATTTAATAATGTACTAATTTCTAAATCTTTTAACTTGAATGTATGTATTCAGTTATCTTTTCAAAAAGGTTATAAGTTCATTCTCTAAATAATTACATAAATATCATTACTATCAAACCTATACTTTTACTATTGCAAATTACTCATTTACACTTTTACAATTCCAGATACATTCTACAAATAAAAACATAGTATTATACAGTATTAAAACATTCTGGACCTATTGAACACTCACCCCACAGCTATGGTGTGGAGGTTTCCCTCAATTCCTCTCCATGACAAGTATAATAATTTGAAGTCCAACCAGGAGCTTTACACTAAAATAATATAAATTTACCTGATAAACTATTTGACCATCATGAATTTAATGCCAATTCATAGAAAGTTAAATAACAAAAAGACTTACATTTTTACATACTCAATTTCACTTTGACCTTGAAATTGTTCAATGACAAAATGTCAATTACTTTTAAATAGAAAAAGATAAAATTACATGGCCACAATTGAATTACAAAAACTGGTAAATTCCATACATTTTCTGTTAAATTAGATGTACAAAAACCTATTCAAAAGAGTAAAAACTTACCAGCTAAAGACTTTTGACTTTTTCCAAATTCAAACTTCATGTACAGTCAGCTGGTCAGGAGTGGAGTGCCCAAGTTGGCCAAAGCATTTCCACAAGTAAGCTGAGGCTTCCGTCCCAACCAATCATATGGCCCGTCCTTAGTCCGGTGTCTTAACTCACTCACTCACTCACATGCACACACAGGTAAGTACATGTCACATACACAGGCAGATTCATTAAAGGTCCTTACACCATCTTTCACACCAGACAACATATGCAAATACAAAACATGTATAACAAAACCTAATACCTACAATTTGTATATAAATAATAATTAAGTAATAATCAATTACAATACAAAATATAAACCCTATTACAATATAATACATCGTAACATGTATCAGTAATCATAAGGTTTTATAACAGAACAATCATTAATTTATTACATTGTCATTTCAACTTTTTAGAAAATATTATATGACAAGGGGTGTGTATATGTAGCTAGCAAGCAGGGTGTCAGGGTTTAGTGGGTGTCTGGGTTTAGTGGGTGTCAGGGTTTAGTTGGTGTCAGGGTTTAGTGGGTGTCAGGGTTAAGTGGGTGTCTGGGTTTTATTGGGTGTCTGGGTTTAGTGGGTGTCAGGGTTTAGTGGGTATCTGGGTTTAGTGGGTGTCTGGGTTTAGTGGGTGTCTGGGTTTAGTGGGTGTCTGGGTTCAGTGGGTGTCATGGCTTAGTGGGTGTCTTGGTTTTATTGGGTGTCTGGGTTTAGTGGGGTCAGGGTTTAGTTGGTGTCAGGGTTTAGTGGGTGTCAGGGTTAAGTGGGTGTCAGGGTTTAGTGGGTGTCTGAGTTTAGTGGGTGTCAGGGTTTAGTGGGTGTCGGGGGTGTCGGGGTTTAGTGGGTGTCGGGGTTTAGTGGGTGTCAGGGTTTAGTGGGTGTCTGGGTTCAGTGGGTGTCAGGGTTTAGTGGGTGTCTGGGTTTAGTGGGTGTCAGGGTTTAGTGGGTGTCAGGGTTTAGTGGGTGTCTGGGTTTAGTGGGTGTCTGGGTTTAGTGGGTGTCTGGGTTTAGTGGGTGTCAGGGTTTAGTGGGTGTCAGGGTTTAGTGGGTGTCGGGGTATAGTGGGTGTCAGGGTTTAGCATTCATACCTCTGAGAGATATGTGTCAATGCTGCCACAGAATTGAAATTAAGATATAATCTGTATTACCGTTTGATTGTACAGTGGCTGTATAAAACCTCAATAAGGAGGCAAATCATGTTCTGCAAGTTTACTTAATGATAAGTTTGTAAATGAACATTTTGTCTTTGCCTGATCTGATAGGAAGCAGTTAAATCCAACAAACTTTTAACAACTTGGTGACTAACTGTTCATTATTGCACAAATGAGCATCTTTGCAGTACATTAACTCATTCACCCCTGAAGACAAATTTGAACTCTTTCCAATTCAAAGGTTGGAATAGTTGATTATGAAATTTCAGGGGTGAATGAGTTTAGAGATTTCAACAAGCAGAATTTTTAGTTCTGGACTTCCCATATTAGGTTAAACAATATTGCTATATATCCAAAATATTTTAATTTACCACCTGCAATCGAATAGTTTAAGAGACTTTAAATATTAACAATCATTTCAATTCAGAAATCATTTTCCTATCCCTACAATGCTGTGAACTATATACATACTCTATGAAGAGACTATTTGGGCCTTTACCTTGGTGCTCTCTCTATTCATTTATTATATGACTGTATTATCATTTTGGACTTATCAGTAAATTTTATACATAATTAAATAATGACATCCACCTTGCTGGTATCAACACTTGCTGTTGATATTTACAGACACTGTTGCCTTATTGAAATAAGACTTCTATTTTTTCCTCAAGGATACTTTGGGTGGCCTACTATGCAGATATATGGGTGTATCCGATTCTAAAAATAATGGCACCACATGAGAGGGTCATCTTCATCGCAATCCTGATGGCTCTGTTTGTCAGTATCTACTTGGTGGGGGAAGGCCTAAACAAATTCCTGTGGGGTAAGTGTATTATATCTGGTGCAGAATTCAGGTAATTGAGTTATATCTGGTGCAGTTTTCAGGTAATTGAGTTATATCTGGTGCAGTATTCAGGTAATTGAGTTATATCTGGTGCAGTATTCAGGTAATTGAGTTTTATGTTGCAGTATTCATGTAGTTACGTTATATCTGTTGCAGTTTTCATTTAAATGAGTTATATTTGGTGCAGTATTCATGTAATTGTGTATTATGTACATGTTAAAGAATTCAGGTAATTTTGTTTTACCTGATTAATTATTGTTTCAAGTGTGAAATACTTAGTACTTCGTAAAGTAATCTGTGTGTAATGCATACTTTGTGAATTATTCAGGTACTGAAGTAAATTTAAAACCTCGTTAATTGTCTTGGTAAATGCTTTATTCTTGGTGAAGTGAAGTGTTGTGTTACATCCATAACTTATATAAAATGTATCTTTGTGGAAGGGGTTAAGATCTATTGCTTGTTTTAATGTGGAGGGGGAAGAGGAAGGAAGTACCAACCCATAGCATGTTTAGAATGTGTATGTGTTTGTATACAAATATATGTGTGTGTACTTGTGTGTTCGTTGGGTAATTTGTTCAAAGTCTTTCTCATCTTCACATCATACCCCAGAACTTATTTCACAATTAATACAATGTAGTTGTATATTAATATGAAATTCTGTAAAACAGACGCCGTCGTTAATCCTTAAGCCTGGAGATGATACATTTTTAAACAATACACTAAGAAATGGTGGATCAGTGTGTGTTGTTTAAAGTTATTAGAAGTTGTGTGTTGTACAGGAATGACATGTTACGATACAAATTCCATGTAAGGGTTCAGTATAAACATAAGTCTTTAAAATGTATCTTCTTTGTTTAAACATGTTATAACTTTTTTTTTTAACAGGTAAGGAGAGGAGAAGCTACCAGTTAATGTTGCAGAAATCACGGAGTTGATACATCAGCACACAGACTTAAGGTCTATTGTGATAGGTCCCTGTAACCATAGTGATAAAAGTGATACAGAGGAAGCTGTATAGGGGCCAACAATTCGTACACTTACATTTGAAATTTGTGATTATTTGTGATTATTTGATTAGTGATTATTTGATTTGTGATTGTGTTGTTTGATATATTGCAAATTTGCATAAATTACGTATGGTACATCTAAGCCAGTGTCGCTTTAAGATAAGATGTTATTACATAGGAGAGAAACATTTTTATAACTTATCTTTCTAAACTTTAAATTAAACAGTTTGTATGCTGGTTCCTTCTCATTGTTTAAGTTCAATTGAATACTAATAACACTTAAATAAGTATTTAAATGACTTAAAAAATACTTAATAGTTATGTAAAATTATATTTTAACAATTCTTTATTTAGTTAACCTTACTTTCCAGTGGAAATACAATGTAGTAAATGTGGCTATCTGGAAAAGAGCTTAGAGTTTATGTAAATCAGTTTCTGTGATATTTGAAATGTGTGTAAATCTGGATCTTGATTTTTAACTTGTGATTATGAAAATTCACATTTGATATTCTTAAGTGTTTTTTAGTTTTTAAAATTTGACCTTGATTACTCAAGACCCCAAATTCATATTTTAAGACTATACTAGTCCATAGATAATGTACTCAAGTTCCTAACATCTAGTCAAATTTAACAGCCTTATATGATTTAATATTCTCATTCTCCTTTTGTAATACCATGGAATGTGTTCGTTTTGCATGTTTTACAGGCTAATCAATTGTGTTTATATTCAACAGCATTAATTAAAACAACACTTTTATATATAATGGCAATGTATAGATTATATAAGATGATTTGGTGCATTGTTCGTTTTAGGTAAGTTGTAATTTGTCAGTACAAACCCAACTACTGACGTTCTTTACCCGTATTATAAACAACTTTATAATTACCATATTTATCCTTCAATAAGCCCAGAGGGCCAACATATTATTGCTTACTGAAAGTAGGAGGATGGGCTAATTACATTATTGGCATTTTTCTTCTACAGTAATTTATATTGTTGGGCCTCAATACCAAGCATGGGCTTATTGCCGGGTAAATATTTTCACTCATTATTAATACAGGTAGCATTAATTTTGAAAAGAATTTCAAAATTACTACTGCTTGAAAACCTGTAAAAAGAAGAGATTTTTTTATTGGCATGACGATAGCATTAACAGATCATTTCTAAAAAGAAACCCATACTTTGCGGAACTTTTACTAAGAAATAATAATGACGAAATAAAAAAAAACTAACGTCAACTATGTTCTGTGAGAGAAAAAAACTACATATCCCCAGACCAGGATTCGAACCCTTGACCTCTGATCATTATAAAGTCACTCTAGCCTACTGCAAAAAAGGAGATCGTCGATAGTTACCCTGCCCTGTCAAAGTCCAACTACAGTTACAACGTATATATACAATAGGAGAGGTCACTGTTTGTATGAAAAACTGCGTTTTAAATGAATGTTAGTGAAGTGTTTAAAACACACATGTTACATGTCGGTTAACGTTGTAAATATATATATATATATACATTTCAATGCTAATGCGCAATTTAGTGATATTTTCTCGCTAAATTGTATGGAACATATATATAGAACCAATAATGTTAAAAAGAGTCAAACTTTATAACCTTATGAAGTGTATCGGAGTGGGTTAGTCTGTGGGGTGCTGAGTGGGTTAGCCTGTGGGGTGCTGAGTGGGTTAGCCTGTGGGGTACTGAGAGACCTTAACAACAAGTACACTCTACAATTAAGACTATTTTTAATAGTATTGACAAAGTGGAGCATATCTGAGGCTTGGGTACTTGATTCTTTGGTTTGCTAGGACTCTATGGCAGTGCCTCAGGTACTTGTGGAGTCTGTTAACTTGTAAGTGTGTCCAATTCAATGTCTACAATTTTTCAGTAAGGTTTATGATGTCGTAATAATTGTACAAAAAATATACAAATGATATATTAAACACTTATGTAATGGCGATTGTCTTATGTCTATACTATACAATTTATTACAATATTACATGTATGCGATATTCAATCATTACATGATGACAAATGATGTACTCCTGTTGTATGAGCTAGATGCTGAGCGTGAGTGTATTGTGTATGTTGTATACATTCCTGTATAATGTTTTGTGATGTCTTTGAAATGTGAAGAAAATCAATAAACACTCTGAAATTTAAATAAGAAAGAAATAAAAGTTAAGAATTCACAAGCCCCATGTATTGAATTTGAATTTGGATATATACTGTATCGTAATATGATTATTATAATCTATGCAAGTGTCCAGCTGACCACTTTATTCATATTTTAAAGGACTCTTGAGCAGACAAACCTGTAGTGGCATATTTAGAGAACTCATAGAGTTTCTTGTTACATTCTGTATATATATATATATACACGTATTCAGACTTTTAGGTCTATAAACGTTCTCAAACATTTCTTCAGTATTTTCTCTTTTTGCTTCAATTAACACTGTCATTTGATATATGTCAATCATCTAGATTGGGAAAAAAGACTTTGAAACTTGCTCAAAATCCAACATTCATCAATGAGGCTGAAAAAATATTACTATACGTTAAGTTATTATCAATATCATTTCTGCATATCTGGTGAAAAATAAGCGATGCAATCTAATTTGATGGACTCTCGCTTATTAATCATCAGAACACCTCCTACCCCGAAAATCCATATATCTCTCATAACAACATTCCAAACATATGCTTAATTTTTTAAACAAACAAACCCTAGCATACTCATTGTCTTGCCAAAATACCACTCCATACTTCAACCTCAGTCACAGGTACCAGGTGCTAATTTATGGAAGGTTATATTTTAGAGATAATTGTCACGGTCCTATGCTGTAGTTTTACTGAGTTATCTACCGCGTCTGTCATTCGAGGTCCACATCTGTGTTTATAAAATATATTGGTGTCTTATAATTGCCATGTGAAAGTGGCCAATAAATCAACTTGAAATTATATAATTTTATATTTTATTTTGAATATATCACGAGACTTTATAAACCCGTCGTTACTTTGGACTTTTATTCCGTCTTTGCGTATTGAAGAGTTATCTTCTCTTGTGAGCAGGTATTGATTGTTTGGTCATTGTTTTGTGTGAGAATATTACGTCGTTTTCTAAAAAATGATGACGTTACTCTCACAAACAAATGACGTAACAATCAATAACTGCTCACAAGAGAAGATAACTCTGCAATACGAAAAAACGGAATACGTAGCAGTTAAGGTGTAGCAGCGTCACGAGTGTTTATATTGCTGGAACTACAGGGACCTGATAATCTTGACATACTAGTAGTTTCCAATGTGTATTAAAGGTATTAATTGCATACAGGGGTGATAACAGTACACATTCCTTTCTGCCGTGTTTGAATTGTAAACTCTATATAGGGTCATTGACAGTTCATTGTGAACGAAATTCAGGGAGAAAAACAATACACAAGTGTCAACAAAACCGGAACTCGAACTCAATCAAGGTGTATATAACCAGGTGTGCCGGAAGGGTAAGCGTCTTCTGAGTCATCGATGACACCCACCGAATAAATCTAGGTAATATAAAAATAAGTAATATCACGTCCTCATATTGTGGACCAGTGAGGTGACAACAAAACAGAGCACACTAATGAGCAGATTGAAAAAATACCAAAGTGTCGACCAAATCTTAATTAGGACTCTAAAGCGATAAAGGTAGGGCAAACTATGAACAATGGACAGATTTACATGGATACTTAATTAAGGTGAATAAGACAAGGTGTTCCGGAAGGGTGTGTCTTCTGCTTTATCGACGATACCCGCCATGTTAAATCTAGGTCAAATCCAAATAATGCCACGTCCTCACGTCATATACTTGTCCTAAGCGTGACGTCACGATTGAAACAATTGAAACTAACAACCAATCACAGGGCTGATAGGTCATATTACATGGGTAAATACGCTGAAAATATGACATGGATATATTCACTGGATAACACAGTACATTATGTGATAAAATGTGTTACAGCGCGAAACTAACCTCTATGATACTTTTCTACAGACGAATCGAAAGCTTGGGATATGAATTAGCATTGTCTGACAGCAGACTGTACCGATTTTTCACACTGTGCCTTATTGAGTTGCTTTTAGCCGTTTAGAGTGAAGACTACGGTAATGTAACTCTCTGTTTGACAAAGGAAACAGACGTTTTTGAAATCTCGCAAAATAGATTTCAAATTCCTGTTTGTGTTAAAAACAAAACTTAGTATCATTATTTATACCAAAGTGATGAAACTTATTCCGAATGGTTTGCGATGTGGCCTTAAACAATAGGTGCTTCCCTACATTATAGTCCTCACGTTTGTATAATACATAAAATACATGTTGATGGCAATTTCTATTCAATAAAAGTAAGTCGATTGGAGGACGTTACATGTTTAGTTATAAAATGTGTCAGGGAGATTTCAATTACTCTACTAAAACACAAGAGAATATCGGGGGGTCTTTTCTGCTGTTGAAACGGAAGTGGAGGTGCAACAAAAACACCTTAACTATTTGAATTTCAAACAAAGGAGAAGGACTGGTTAATTTCATTTTATTATGAACCGTGCTACCACTCAAAAGAGATAACTGTGGATATCAAGGTTATGTAACATAAGAAACACATGTATAAGCACCTATACACTTTGTTAATATATATCGTATTCCTGAAATAGATTCCACAGCACCATACAACTGTTTCATCTTTCTAGGCCTAGTCGGTGATGCTAGAGGTAAAAAAGTTGGAAATATTGATCAATTTTTAAACTTTCAAACTCAATGAAAACTTGCATACTTTTATTTCACCGTCGTCAACTTTCGTGCTCAATGGTGACATATCCGCATTACCACTTGTCTTCGGAATCTGTTTTATATACATACATCAGTACATTATCATACTTGGTGTTTTATATAAACACATCAGTACATTATAATACTTGGTGTTTTATATACATACATCAGTACATTATCATACTTGGTGTTTTATATACATACATCAGTACATTATCATACTTGGTGTTTTATATACATACATCAGTACATTATCATACTTGGTGTTTTATATACATACATCAGTACATTATCATACTTGGTGTTTTATATACATACATCAGTACATTATCATACTTGGTGTTTTATATACATACATCAGTACATTATCATACTTGGTGTTTTATATACATACATCAGTACATTATCATACTTGGTGTTTTATATACATACATCAGTACATTATCATACTTGGTGTTTTATATACATACATCAGTACATTATCATACTTGGTGTTTTATATACATACATCAGTACATTATCATACTTGGTGTTTTATATACATACATCAGTACATTATCATACTTGGTGTTTTATATACATACATCAGTACATTATCATACTTGGTGTTTTATATACATACATCAGTACATTATCATACTTGGTGTTTTATATACATACATCAGTACATTATCATACTTGGTGTTTTATATACATACATCAGTACATTATCATACTTGGTGTTTTATATACATACATCAGTACATTATCATACTTGGTGTTTTATATACATACATCAGTACATTATCATACTTGGTGTTTTATATACATACATCAGTACATTATCATACTTGGTGTTTTATATACATACATCAGTACATTATCATACTTGGTGTTTTATATACATACATCAGTACATTATCATACTTGGTGTTTTATATACATACATCAGTACATTATCATACTTGGTGTTTTATATACATACATCAGTACATTATCATACTTGGTGTTTTATATACATACATCAGTACATTATCATACTTGGTGTTTTATATACATACATCAGTACATTATCATACTTGGTGTTTTATATACATACATCAGTACATTATCATACTTGGTGTTTGATATACATACATCAGTAGATTATAATACTTGGTGTTTAATATACATACATCAGTACATTATAATACTTGGTGTTTTATATACACACATCAGTACATTATAATGCTTGGTGTTTTATATACATACATCAGTACATCATAATCTCCGGAATCTGTTTTATATGCATACATCAGTACATTATGATACTTGGTGTTTTATAAACATACATCAGTACATTATAATACTTGGTGTTTTATATACACACATCAGTACATTATGATACTTGGTGTTTTATATGCATACATCAGTACATTATGATACTTGGTGTTTGATATACATACATCAGTACATCATAATCTCCGGAATCTGTTTTATATGCATACATCAGTACATTATGATACTTGGTGTTTTATAAACATACATCAGTACATTATAATACTTGGTGTTTTATATTCATACATCAGTACATTATGATACTTGGTGTTTGATATACATACATCAGTAGATTATAATACTTGGTGTTTAATATACATACATCAGTACATTATAATACTTGGGGTTTTATATACATACATCAATACATTATAATACTTGGTGTTTTATATACATACCTCAGTACATTATCATACTTGGTGTTTTATATATATACATCAGTACATTATGATACTTGGTGTTTGATATACATACATCAGTAGATTATAATTCTTGGTGTTTAATATACATACATCAGTACATTATAATACTTGGCGTTTTATATACATACATCAGTACATTATAATGCTTGGTGTTTTATATACATACATCAGTACATTACAATGCTTGGTGTTTTATATACATACATCAGTACATTATGATACTTATTTTGGTTTTGTTGAATTTATTCTGACATGGTTTACATACATCAGTACATTATCATACTTGGTGTTTGATATACATAAATCAGTAGATTATAATACTTGGTGTTTAATATACATACATCAGTACATTATAATACTTGATGTTTTATATACATACATCAGTACATTATGACACTTGGTGTTTTATATACATACATCAGTACATTATTATACTTGGTGTTTTATATACATACATCAGTACATTATGACACTTGGTGTTTTATATACATACATCAGTACACTATGATACTTGGTGTTTTATATACATACATCAATACATTATAATACTTGGTGTTTTATATACATACCTCAGTACATTATCATACTTGGTGTTTTATATACATTCATCAGTACATTATCATACTTGGTGTTTTATATGCATACATCAGTACATTATGATACTTGGTGTTTGATATACATACATCAGTACATCATAATCTCCGGAATCTGTTTTATATGCATACATCAGTACATTATGATACTTGGTGTTTTATAAACATACATCAGTACATTATAATTCTTGGTGTTTTATATACATACATCAGTACATTACAATGCTTGGTGTTTTATATACATACATCAGTACATCATAATCTCCGGAATCTGTTTTATATGCATACATCAGTACATTATGATACTTGGTGTTTTATAAACATACATCAGTACATTATAATTCTTGGTGTTTTATATACATACATCAGTACATCATAATCTCCGGAATCTGTTTTATATACATACATCAGTACATTATCATACTTATCTTGGTTTTGTTGAATTTATTCTGACATGGTTTACATACATCAGTACATTATCATACTTGGTGTTTAATATACATATATCAGTACATTATCATACTTGGTGTTTTATAAACATACATCAGTACATTATAATACTTGGTGTTTTATATTCATACATCAGTACATTATGATACTTGGTGTTTTATATTCATACATCAATACATTATGATACTTGGTGTTTTATATACATACAACAGTACATTATGATACTTGGTGTTTTATATACACACATCAGTACATTATAATGCTTGGTGTTTTATATACATACATCAGTACATTACAATGCTTGGTGTTTTATATACATACATCAGTACATTATTATACTTGGTGTTTTATATACATACATCAGTACTTTATAATGCTTGGT